TGTCTGGGTAAGATACTGATGCACAAAGCCACCTCCCTGGCAGCAGTTTGTAACGCTTTTGTTGACTAGGTAATATAGGAAGCTGGAAAGTCCCTACGGGGCAGATGGGAGGGCAAGTGGATGGGTCCAGCAAACCCTGGACTTCAACCCGGGAGCCTGTTGTGTGCTTACCTTGTGAATGTTGTGTGATGTTTTTTCTAAACCTTACTGCATGCTTTTGTCGCACAACTATGCATCTAATACAGAAACTGTACATTTCCTGAGAAAACTTAAGTGTATTTTGAAAAGACACAATACATGTAGTAAAAATAAATTGACATGGAGTCTTGAAACAACAGCAACAGATGCAGGAGGATACCTAGCGTGTCATATATAGACTACGGATGCACCGAATATTCGGTAACAGAATATATTCGGCTGAATATTGAAAAAAAACCACACATTCGGTATTCGGTGGAATAAGTTAAAAGCAAGGCTGAATAATAGCGGCGTGTTTTGATAACGCAATCAAACAGCGTGCCGTGACCGGTGGAGTAAAATGTTGGCAGTGTGGCGATCCGCCCGTCACGGCACTTGCATTTCCGACTAAAAATAGTTTTGAGCGAGCAAAATAAGCTTAAATCATTCAGCACACTGTGCGAGCAGCCTACAGATTTCAACCAGCAGCAGAAACGAAAGGCGAATCCCACCGATTGTGGGTTGAACAGGGGTCACAGACACAGACAGTAATGTAGCCTATTCCTGTCAAATACGCCGGCCATCAGGTTACTGCGACGGAGAATTCGGCTCCAATAATATCCTCTTCTTGGCGTCATGGCTGCCCAGAAGTACCTGAACAGCCGAGCCAGCCGAACACAGGTATGTGACGTGTCAGAGGAGAAACAAGCCGTTCACGGCCCACAAACCTCACCGCATTTTAGGGACTGTTCTTTACTTATGAAGGGGAGGAGGGTGGCTGGTTGATTTTTATTTTATTTATTTATTTTATTTTGATCCCCCCTATGTTAATCACTTATTGATGCTGTTTTTGAAGTATGAATAAGTCAATAAATAATTTATTCCATTGCAATATCATTGATGTATTATAGAAAAGTGATTCATCTTTTTATAAATGACAAAAGGCACATCTGCCTCATTTTCGTTGTGGTATTATTAAGTGCCAGACAAGGAAGCCAGGACCCAGTTGCAGAGTTAAGTACAAAAAGTAGTTTATTTACAAAGTAGCAACAAAAAATCAGTTCACAGAAAAAATACGAGCAAACAAAGTATCAACCAAAACTCTTTCTGAGGGAGAAGTAACAACAGAAAAGGCTAAACTGAAAATAACCATAAACATGGGAAAAAGAGCAAGAACAAAAGTGCAACGAAAAGAGTGACAAGGCACAAAACTCACAAAACCTGGAGACCAAACACTGGAGCATAAACACGTGGCGAGAGGCAGGAGATCACAGAGAGCACGAGAATAGTACTATAGCAAGGAGAATAATCCAGCACTGGAGACAAAGAGAGTGTGGCTTAAGAAGCCAGCTAATTAGGCAGAACGAGCTGCAGGTGTGCAGGGAGCCCAGTGCTCCCGGAGATCGCCCCGCCCCTCAGCACTCACTCTGCAGGGAGAGGGAGAGAAGGATCAGATAGCAGCAAACACAGTTTCACAGAAAAGGTATGGTGATACTACTTAGAACCATGATACTTTCATTGGTATTGTACAGTGGGTCCCAATATTGGTACCGTGACAACACTAATCTGGAGGGGGTTCACCTGCAAAAACTAATGAAAAACTAAACAACAATATTCGGTATTCATTACTGGGTATTCGGCCAAGCGTTTAATATTATTCGGCTTCGGCCACAAATTTTCATTTCGGTGCATCCCTAATATAGACGTGAAAGTTCACTGACAAAAAGCAGCATGCACTTCTTGCTATGTGCGTCAAAATGACTACCAGACATCTCCTCAAAGAGTTCATTCTTATTTTAACTTTAACACATAGTATTTACTGTTGCCACATAATGTGGTCAGTGTTTAGATCAATCTTCCTTAAAAATTTGTCAGTATAGTTTTCATGACATTCATCTAAGTAAAGCATTTTAAACTGAAACTGCAACACTGACCTGCATTGTTGATGCTGACAAAGAAAGAGTAAATAAGTGAAATAGGTCATTTGGAAAGTAATTATTGAAATAGCAGAGGTCCTTGTATTCCCATGAATTGCCTTAAATCTTTGTCAAACCAATGATTAAGTGAATTACCTGGTTATATACTTACAGGATTAGTATGAATTTGGAAATTTAAGCACTGTCAACAAATGTTGATTTGTTTGAAATCCTGGTTAAAGCACTGCAAACAATATGCAGTGGAACAATGTCTTGTCTGGCACTTTTTTTTTTCTGGAGTGTCCGTCCTTACTTCCTTGAAAAGGTTGCTCTTTACCTGCTGTTGCTTGTCAGGAAAGCAGATGGAGAGTGGCCTCTGACCCCAGTGGCCTACATCGGAGACCATCTTGTCACTCTGACAGGGAGTGCCAACTAGCCTGTTCCTTGCAGCAAACAAAGTATGCCATGCCCTTCCCAGTGAGGTTCCATTGTTTCTTTTGTAATATTCAAGAAGAAAAAGGAGGCAAATTAGCCCTCATGCAGTATGCATGATTTTAGAAAGGCCCCCATATAATTCTACTGCTGAGGGAAATGGGGAAGTCTAGGAGCAATACAGCTGTGCTTTTAGCAAGTTTAGCATTTCTGGGATGCCGTGTAATTGCCTATGCCAAAATGTGTGGCGTTCCTTGTCTTAGGAGAGCATGCTTAATTTTCTTCATCACCTATTGCTGCAATATTCCCTGTGCATTACTTGTTGTTTGAGGCTACTACATAATGTAATGTAATGGCACAGCATCCCCATGGTATTTGAAAGGAAGGCTTTTCACAGCTTATTGCTAGCAGCTAACACTCAGGGTTTCTGTGGAAAACGTCATTGGGCGCTTGAATCATGATGTCCCCTAAGAACCAATTCTGAGTTGGCAGCGCTTGACATGATTGTCCTTAAGTAACTGACAGGGTTGCGGTGTTACATGGCACTCTGGTTCAGTGGCAAAGAAAACTGTTAAGATCTCGCCGGTGTTCAGAGAGGAGACGAAGGTGAACACAAGTCAGATTCCCTAATGGCCTGGGGGTGGTCGGCTGGGAGGCTGTTTTCTGTGATGACTTGTCTCACAGCGTGTTACCTTGAGAGATTATTGGAGCGTTTGATTGGCCAACTTCTGTGGATGGACACTGGCTGAATTGCAGTTCAGAGAGTATCGATTTCAGTGACAGTGCTATTGTGTTTCTGTGTGTGGGGAAACTATATATGGGACTGTATGGTGTATTTCTGCTGGTGTGGGCTGATTGTTCCTTCTCTGTGTTCGGCTCTCGGAACAAATACAGTATCAGCTTGCAGGAGGGATACTGTGCACACAGTATTATGCACCAATATATCATTGTCAAATTAAGTGGTACATCTTGGAGTTAGGTGTGTAAACAAATTAAATCATGTTTTAAATGAGCAAAAGCCTCTGTAATGTTACTAGTGCTGGCTTTCCTTTAAATTAAGACCATTTTTCTCATTAACCTCGCATCTTCCTGTCTCAAACCACTCAGTTTGCTCTACATAAGAGACAGTGGCAAATATTAAATTTGCTGTGACTGTCTGCCAGTGCAAGAAAGAGAAAACATCAGCTCTTTTGCCAGAAAGATATCACTCTCTTTTTGTTTTGTGCCGTACAACATTAGGCTGTGCCATAAAGCATTCAGCAGATTTTATACCAAAATATATCATATAAATTACAAATGCTTTTGAAGCTTTTTCTGAAAAGAAGTTTTTCATGTTTGTATGTTGGAATTTGTGCTCATTCAAAGACAGTGTAATGATGAACAGAATGACATATGAATGACAGTACAGTTATTTAATTGTTTCCCTGGCACAAAAGGGAAATAAATAACAACAAAGCAAAAAACACCTGTATTCGGCCCCGCTCAGTGCAGACCTGTTTGAGTTGTCTGGGCACGGTTCTCAACATAGAGGTGGCTGAGCTGGCAGCTAGCAGATAATGGTGCTAACTCTATAAACAGTGCTAAACTGTAGCAACAGCGCTGAGAGCTAACAGTATTAATCAGGTGGAAACAAGAGTCCATGTGCAACACTTCCACATCCTTAACAATGGTAACTGCCATATGGGTGCAGTGCAAAGTGGCAGCAATGAACTGGCCAGCGAGATACACACATATACTAACATATACTACAACACACACACAGAGAACCTTGAATTAGAAATGGCTAAATACAAGCATACAGATATAGTTATTTATTTATTTATTTATTAAATACATAAGGCTATATTCTTAGAGTTTACGGGGAAATACTGTAAATTTACGCTTACCCAATCTGTCCGTATAGAATAAGTCCTACATAGCTCAATAGATAAAGTATGACACTGGTTCTTTTGGGGTTTCATCCACAAATCATGCTATAAATGTACAGCATAAGACCCTTTGAATGGCAGATGTTGTGTTGCAGGATGTCAGTAAACCAAAAAGACAAGTTGAACCCTAGTAGAGTCCACGGAGGGGCCAGCCACCGATCCTGTGGTTATCTTTCCATGCTTGGACCCTTCCCAGGGTGCGAGTTTACCCGACCTCAGCATGACTCAGTCCTTCCCCTTGCTTCTTTTTGGTGGAAAATAGGTTTCGTAGGAAAAAAAGACAACAATCAAAAACAATCACTCAGCGTAGAACAAACAGCATGTAGTAGAAGCTTCTCCTTCTCTCTCCCTCTCTGAGCACCATGGCAACATTCACTTTGATATGCAGATACCCCCGCCATTTGTACAGTGCAGCACCGAGGGGAATATTGACTTTTCGGAGAGGCAGAGAGCTTTTGCATTAATTGTTAAGCTAAAACTGTGCTTCTCCTTTTTTTTTGCTTTTTGTGCATTTGAATCGTAGCATGTCTTATCTTTCTCTCCCCAGATGTGGAGGGAAGACTGTGTGCCGGAGCCAGGGATTGCACTCTGAGGAAGAAGCTAGCATAACTGTTATCTTCATGTAAAACAACACAACCTGCAGGCTGAAAGTCCTCTCTGGTGTTCTCTTTACTCCAGTCATCATAATGACGCTGTCTCGGTAGCCTTTCGCTACCTGATTGGTATTCATCCTGCTCTCTGAAACCTTCCAGCGCTGATAACACTCAGAGACACATTTTACTTTTACCGTACAAACCACCACCTGCCATGGATCGCCTGTGTCCGGGTGAAGGCGTGAGCCGGACACAGGACCTCATTGGGAAACTGTAGCCACCTGGATTCTCTTCAGCTTATTTCCTGTGATTTTACTCTGGAGTTATTCTTTATTTGGACCAGGGATGGATGTACCGGAAGCCAGCAAACATGGGAAGAAGTCGACGAGTCAAAAGCTGGAGGACCAGAAAAAGGTAAGCAAAACTTTCCTGTTCTTCCCTTTTCTGCTACACAATGCTCTTGATCTTCTCCTGCTGTGTGTGCACTGCTTTTTTTCAGTCAGCTTTGACTTTTGCTGTTTTCCAGTTGTATGTATGTGGAAGCCAAGGGATGAAAGTTTGTTTATCGCCTGGTTTGTTGTTCTCTTTACAAAAAGAGAACATGTTGGTCCAATTGCTGCTGTTGTCTGAATTCCCAGTAGCTCCTTCGCTCCATATCTTCTAATAGCTATTTATAAAGACGAAGGGGGGGGGGGGGAAAGGTGGAGTTTTTGCTCCCCCTCAGCGCCTCCAGTCTTTCATCTCAGCTTGTGTGGCGTGGCGGTGGGCAGGGCCCGCCCCAGCCTCCCCGTTGGGAATACATATTTACTCTCTGTTTGAGATGCTTTTTATGTTAACTACTCTGGGAATAGGAAGGGAAAAATACCCGTAAAAATGAGACAAATAGTTTTTCCTGTAGAGAGATATTGTGTGTGCTAATGGTCTGCTGTTCTCCTATGGAGGGCATGAGCTTGGTAAGATAATGGTGAGCTTAGCTGTGGCTAGTTAGGATTCTGACTCTGAACGCAGTGACCTCGAGAGGGTCAGATTCATCTGTGGCGGCAGTGGGTGGATCGATTGAGAGAACTCAGGCGTCAGGCCAAGTTCACACTGTCTGCAGAATGTGGGATTTATGGACAACGGCACAAGCTTGTGTCTTTCTGAAAAACAGTAAAGCACATACCCACACATATACACACATACTGTACTCTTAGGTGCACTCAATGCAAAAAGATGCCCATAGATGCAAAGAATTGGTACTTACTGGACTAGAAAAACAAAAACACACACACAGGAACTATTTCTGTTCCTTTAGTCACCTGCATACACTGAGACATGCACACCTACTAAAATGCATACACAGACCGAAACAAATAATAGATACACACAGCATCTCTATCTCTCCCTGCCTCTGACCTGATTCCTCTAATGAAGTGCTTTTGATAAGCGTAATGATTGTCCAGGCGAAGCCCGGGGAACATCCAAGCGCAGCGAAAGCGCAGTAATACATCAGGTCTGACATTTGTAGCACTATTAAGATCCCATAAAAAAGATGATTGTACTTTATTATTTTTTTCTCCTTTTAGACCTGAGTGCCATCTGGGAGTGCTTTTTTTACCGTTTTAAAGCCACACAGAGACGTGTTGCCGCTTGTGCTGCCAGGCAACAACATTTTATACCCTTTTAGAGAAGGCGCAGGAATGAAGGTGTGCTCCTGCTCTTGGATTTGTGATAACATTGTGAATGATTGCAAAGCTCTGCAGCAACACTACCAAAAATATCCATGTGGCCACTCAAACAATCAGAGGGTATTTCAGCCTTATGGCTCACTTAGATTAGATGGATATGCTCACTCTTTGTCCAATATTAGTTTTTGGTCTCTTTTTGTAAACACCCTCTGTCAAATGTCATGCAACAACACAAGGCTATGTTTGGAGCAGCATACTCTTTGTTAGGGCTTCAAAATGGAAGCTGATTTCTAGGTGAGGGGACCCTCCCTTGAAGCTGAGATTGGAACTGAGTAAAGAGTGACATGAAATATTCATCTGGTAAGGGAATTGATTTGGCTCACTTTGGCTACCATTTTGGTTTGAAGATGTGTGTCATGCCAAAAGATAAGTTCTCCCTCTCCATCTTAACTGTTGCCTTCAGCTACGGCAGGAGACAAATGTTTCTGAGCAGAAAGAGCTTCTTGGAAGGTTTTTAATATTCCTGGCGATGTTTCTGTGGTTACAGTGGGATGTGTGCTGTAATTGCCTGACTTGATGGGTTATGTCTCGTCCCCAAAGTCTCATACTGACTCCACTCTGTCAGCCTTGATAGTTGAACCCGGCAGAAGAAATTGCTGTACTTACAACACACATTTTTAAGGACATAGAAAGTGTAATTCTCTATCTCTTTTCAGTGATTTATAATGCAACCTGGTTGTTACCTTTCACTTTATATTAGATGGATGTAAGGTGGATAGTCAATGAAAGCCAGACTTGTGGTACAGAGAAAATGATGGCACACAAGTTGAATTCCAGTCAAGATCTGCAATTTAAGGAATAGTTTGACATATTGGGAAATATGTTTTATTTGCTTCCTTGCTGAGTTAGATGAGAAGATAACTGATCACTCTAATATCTGTACAGCAAATGTGAAGCTGAAGCCAGTGGTCCTGGTAGCTTAGCTCAGCAGCTGAATCTCCAGATTGTTACATCTCCAAACCAAGAAATAGTATGGCAGGGCTCGACAGTGCAAGCGTTTCACTCACATTTGCGACTAAAAATAGGTGTGTGCGAACTGTAGAAAATATTTAGGGGCACATGTGCGCATAAAAAAATCAGCCGAAGCAGCCTATATTTTTGTCAATAAAAAAATATGATAATCTAACCGCAAATGTTGGAGAAACTCCAGCCGCCTTCTCTCTTCCCCGTGTGACACAGTTATGGGCGGTTTTCCAAGCCACTGTCGGCACAATGAATATAATGGCCGGGGTCCACAGTGTAGCGTAGCCGCGTATTCATATGGGCTCCACTGACTGCGTACGGAAGCGACAAGTAGAGAAGCCGAGCCGAGAGGCTGCATGTAGGCTGCATGAAATGTTGAAGCATTTTCCACCTAAGTTATTACATATATTTGAGTTATCTACAAGTTTAGCTACTGTACTGTTTGTCATCTACTCGCATTCAAATGTCCGCCACGGACATTTACACAATCTCACGGATAAACATGGGTAAATGCATGAAAAAATCATCACATATCACCTCTGATAATGGTTTATTCATTTAAAAACACATTGTGCTCGTTTAGCACACTATTTCATGTAGTTTTTATCTGCTGGAGGGTCGCGTAGGGGAGCGTAGCGCGACAAAAAAATAAGAGCATCCTAAAATATAGAGTTGTCGCGCCGCTCCCGTTGCCGGTGGAGTCGCTGTAATTGATTAACGGGGGGCGAGCTGCTACGGGACTCGCGCTGCAGACGTGTCGCGCCGCTGACGTGCCCGGTGGATCTCGGCCGTAAGTCCCACTGTCGGCAGGGTGGAAATAAGTCAAAGTGTGGTGGAGGCAGGGACGGGTTTTGCCATGGGCAAAGTGGCCGACCGCCCAGGGCGCAATCTATGTGAGGGCGCACAAGCGCCCTCCAAAAAAACCCAAAACAAACAAACAACAACAACAAAAAAAACTCTCCAGTTTTCTAGACTGCCGCTCATTTCCACGTCAAGTTAGTGGAGTGGGCGCTGGGGCGCCCCTATTATCATGGCAGTTGTGACAGGAATACGGCGGATGATCATAGCGCGCAAGATAACGGCTTACCGCGACAGAGAAGTCCGACTCCAGGTCCAGTAATTTCCTCTTTCGTTGGTGTCATGACTGTCCAGTAGTACCTGGACAACCGAGCCGTGGCGGCACACAGGTATGCAGCGTATCAGAGGAGAAACGAGCCGTTCACATTTCTCTCTTGTGGCAGGCAGGTAACGGTCCACAAACCTCACTGCACTTTAGGGACTGTTTTTACTTATGAAGGGACTGTCAGGGGAGGAGGGTGGCTGGTAGATTTTTATCTTATTTATTTATTTTATTTTGATCCCCCCTATGTTAATCACTTATTGATGCAGTTAGGGACCGTTCTCCACGGCCAGGCTGTCGGCTGGGTGGGAATAAGTCAAAGTGTGGCGGAGAAGAGGGACCGGGAAAAGAGGCTCCGTTCTCCCCATAGTTAGGGACCGTTCGCCACGGTACTGCTGCTGGGCAGGGTGGAAATAAGTCCTGCAGAGTTTCAGAGGACCTGGAGAATGTTTTAGGATAGTAATAACATTATATAAGATAATCATATTGCAAAGATAATATATATAAGATAATAACATTAAAGACAAAATTAAATTGCAATACTTTTTCAAAACTTGATGATTTTACCTATCTGTACATTTTATATACAAATTCATTAAATAATTTTGCTTGTACATGTCTATTTGCATCACGTTTATTACGGAAAACACATTATTTGATCAATTTACATTGTGCCCCTAAAGTGCGCTCCTTACTTTTTCAACTTAGGAGCACATGTGCTCCTTGGGAAAAAAGTTAGCGTCAAGCCCTGTATGGCTTATAATCCTGCAAAGCCTTAAACTATCATTTCAACACTTTATTTTTTTGTATGGATAAAATAAATGACATGTAATAGGCATTTTTGGACCGGAGGAACTTTTTCAAAGCTCCAAGAACATAGTTTTAGGAACCTCCCCTCTTTGTTGTGTCTGAACAAGAGGGGGACACAGGAGTGGATTTTCACTCTTGCCCCATTCCACTCCCACAAAAAAAAAAAACAACTGTCCTGTCCCAATCCCGCTCACTAAACATCTCCATTGTTGCCGTCTTCGTCTTCTCTTGCCAACCTGTAGAATATGACACGTCCACTGATGTCATCACGGTTCCATGTAAGGTTAAGAAAAACCTGCTATTTTCTGGTTCCAGCTGGGAACCAACTTCTCTGGTTCTGAACCAGTTTATTTTTGGTTGAAATGCTCTGAATGGTTCAAAATCAGGTATGGGAACCAGAACTGAACCTGTTGCATGTTGGCGGAAAAGGGGTATTAGGGAGTCCCCAGAACTGCCTGGTCCGAAAATGCCGAATGTATTAGTTGGTGAGCTTTAGTCATGCTGATGGGGAGATTTCTTTACCTTTGGACAGAGCAAGGTTAGCCCTTTCCCCCTGTTTGCCGTGTTTGTGTTTTACTAAGGTAACCAAGTGCTGGCTGTAGCTTCATATTTAATGGACAGACAGGGTGATATCAATCGACATCAATCAACATATTCTCCAGAGTGTGTAATGATTCATTTCAAGGGCCTTTTTGCAGTGTTCAGCTGTTAAGATTAGGTTTATTCACCAGGCTTTTGTTAGACTTCTGTTAAATTTTGTCTCACAAGTTTGTCACACCCCCAGCTGACCAACT